CCAATCTTCCACTGTCATGCTGGCATTTCCACCCATCCAGTTCCAGTCAGGTGCAGAGGTGCAGAGACAAAGGATGACCCTGGCTTTCTAGAAAGAATTTTGTTATGGCTACATAGCATCTAACTCTTACAATTCCCCCTCCCATTTCCCCACAATAGAAAATGCATAGTAGAATAATAGAAAGTGTGGCAGGCCAAAGACTCAAAAGAAAGATGGCTGCAGGCCTGACAGCCTCCTTATTTCAAGTTTGGGTCTTCCTTTATAAAACTCCCACTCAGTGGTTCCTGTCCTACTTTTGGGCCTTACAGAGAATAAATCCACAGCTTCTTTTCTGTGATAGCTGAGAAGCAGGGGAAGAAGGCTGTCACGTCTCAACCAGACTGAAGCCTACTGAGCATATCAAGTGCCTGTCATTAGATTTATGCTACGATTTAGAGATGAAATATTTATTGTGGAGATTATGGCACTGATTAAAAGAAATAAATTAAAATGAAGCTAATGCCTTGAAAACATTCTTTTAACTTGAATGAATTTTTAAATATTCTATATTTTTAGGTGTCAACTGGAGACAGATTTGAAAATAGAAAAAGAATGGAGACAAACCATGGAAGAGGATCTTAAAAAGGAAAAAGAAACGACCTGTTTTCTACAAACAGAGACTCAGCAAATCATTACACTTAAAAAAGTAATTTCTCAAAACTTGAATCCTGATTAAAAACAGTAGAGGGACAGGGTACACCAGAAAATGCCTTTGCGTAGTTCATGAGGTGGGCATGAGGGGATGAGGCCACAAGGCTGCCATACAAGCAGGTGGGCTGTGGGAGACCTCCAGGCCTGCACTGGCAGAAGCCCTTTCTTCCCTTAACAGAGGCTGAAAACTGGGTCTTTGCGATGGCAAGCAAAGAGGTTATTTTCAATAATTTATAGGTGGGTGGGGGAAAGGAGGGGAATCATGATTAGAACCAGGATCCTGATGCCTAACATTCACTAAATGGCCATTTATAAGGTAAGCTGATAAATTTTCTTTAGGAGTCGGGGCCTTTGTTTCAGCCAGAGGTGCAAATGAAATTGCTTTCATCAAAATGTGATTATTCAGAAACAGTATATTTTTCTAAGCCTATCAACCTTCACATTAACTATCAGTGCTTACTAGCATTTCCTTGTACTGTGTTTTCCCCAAAAAAACATGACGTACCCCGAAAACAAGCCCTAGCCTAATTTTCACACCTGTGCCTAATATAAGCCTTACCCCCCCAAAATAAGCCCTAGTTAAGCCCCAACATCTGGCTGTATGAGGCGGGGCAAGGCGCAGGTGTAAAAATTAAGCTGAGGTGGAGGTGCCCCATGGGCCAGGCACCCGCTTACCTCATTGCACCGGTGGAGCCCTTGTGGCAGAACGCCGTGAGGTTTGTTGGACTGGTGGAGCCCTTGTAGCAGAATGCTGCGAGGCTTGTTGCACCAGTGGAGCCGCTTGTGGCTGGATGCTGCGTAGTGTGTTGTGCCATTGTGTGCATGCGTGGCAGCACCAGCGAGATGAGCCTTGCGGCATTGTGATGCGAGTGGCTCCACCGACGCCATGAAGTAAGTGGGTGCGGGGCGCGCGGGGCACCTCCACCTTCAAATAAGACATCCCCGAAAATAATCCTCAGTGATTATTTTGGTGGCCCCAAGAAAATAAGACCAGGTTTTATTTTCAGAGAAACAGTAATTTTAAATATTTTACAGAATTAATGTGGGATTCTTAATTTTCAGATATTGGCATAATGCAGGGGGCCATTAAAAACAAATATGGCTGAAACTGCACGATCAAAGCCGTGTCATGTGATGAGAGCCATCTTGACTCTCGTCCCTGCATATAGTCTGTTATCTGTCCATTATTTTTGGCCTGTGATTCACAGAAAAACAGGAATGTTCTCAGTTGAGGCATTCCTGGAAGTTATTTTATTGCTATATCTACCTCTAAAAATTCTCATGTTCTATTGCTCACGTTACTTAGCTTGAGCAAAGTTGTCATCATTTTATCCTTCCTTTTGTCTTTTGCTCTACCCATTTTGCTTTTTACCTGTTATGACTAAGAGTACGGTATTTCTCCAATAGTTAATACTTTCCTTGACTCAGTTGATTAAATGCACACAAGACTTGTACATTCAAGGAACATGTCTATCTGAAAACCATGGTGGAGTATTGGTCTTATTCAAAGACGTATTTTATGTTTATCTGACCGCAACGCAAAGTAAACCTTTCTGTTGAATTACATGGAAGTTACTTTTATCTATCTATCTGTCTGTCTATCTATCTAGTCTATCTCTGTCCATCCATCTGTCCATCCATCCATCTCAGCATTTGATAAGTCAGAATCATTCTGACTTGGAATGCTTTTTTTCTGGATTTGAAGTCTCAGGGTGTTGAAGATATGATATTCACATCACTCTCTAGAAACAATTGTGCCTCAGTTCAGATGCTTTTCCTGTTATATTCTATCCCTATGCTTTTCAACCTTGGCAAATTTAAGACATGTGAACTTCAGTTCCCAGAATTTTGCAGTCAGCATGCTGGCTGGGGAGTTCTGGGAGTTGAAGTCCACACATCTTAAAACTTGTCAAGGTTGAAAAACATGTTGTTCTGACATAAAATGAATCCTTATTCCTTCCCTGCCTCTGAATAATAGTTGGTGGGTATCAATATGTGATAATCTGGCATTCATTGAGCGCCTATTTGAACCAAAGAAATGCCTGATGTACATTCCTCAATGTCAATTATTGTCGTACTTTATGTATCAATTAATTATGTTTGTTTCTATTTAAGGAATTCCTAAAGTTACAGGGAAATAACAAGCAATTGAGAAATCTTTGTCACGATCAAGAAGAAGCTCTCCAAGAACTAGCTGGCAAACTTAGCGAGTAATTTTCTTTTCTTTTCTTTTTAGGGAAGAGGCATAATTATCCAGGTATCCCAATGTGTAATGGACTAATTAGGAATCATTTATAATTTAAGCATTTCATATTCTGTTGCAGGGGTGGGCAATTGATGATTTGTGGATTCCCAGTTTCCTCAGCCAGCATAGTTGCTCACTCCTGCTCCATTAGCACACTACATGTATTCGGACCGTTGTGCATGTTAACAGCCAAGTCAGCTTGCTAGGTATCCAGATCTTCAGAAGCTTCCATGGGCAGCAGATGTCACATATACACCTATTCGTGTTAGAGAAGTATAAGATGTTTCCCAAGGTATTATTGGACCTTCTATGAATTTAATTCAAGATAAGCCTTTAATGTACAGTTTGTGCAGCCCATCTAACCCTAAGCAGAATATTAGTGTGATTTCAAGCAACAAAGAATTCAGTCTCAGAGTTTCAGAAGTGAAATAAATTAGTTTATTCATACACATTATAAATAAACCAGTAAAAATAAGATGGTCTAAGGAAAAATTAATTTGAAAACACCAAACTGCCTTTGCTTAGTTTTTGCTTAGATATCTAATCTAAGTGGGATTTACTTCTGGATGGTCCCACGGTTAAGACTGGGCTCTAAATCAGAAAATAAGATAATTTTATTTCCCATCTTGATGTTACTGAGCTTTCATTTTGAATTATTTCGTCTGTCTGAATCCTAAATTACAATTTAAGTATTAAAGTGACCAAAACCTCCAGCAGTTTGACATCACAAAAATGAACAAGTACTTATTTAAATAACAAAAACAGGTAAAGAAATGAATTCACAAAATATCATAGGAATAATGAAAAGACAAATTCTGAAAGCAGAGCCAGGTTCTTTATTTCCCTTCAAATCAAACTACTGATCAATTAGGTTACTGAAAGGAATTTTAGGTTTCAAGGCATCTTGTAATTGACATTGGATAAAAGCAAACGATTATGTGCGGAAACTATATTAAGTGTTATGGTCTCAAGAGAAATACATCACTTTCAAAATCCAGAATCACCAATATTCTGAGCTTTATTTATTGATCAGAGGATGAGTCAACTTTTTTAGTCACCATTTTCATATAGCCAGTTTTCTAGTTAGGAAATGTTTAACTATTGTCATATTTCATTTGGATTGTTAGTGGGCAGCATCCAACTTCATGTCTAAAACAGCCATTGTTGCTCAGGGCTGCCAGTTTCTTTCTCAGACACTGTATTCTTGAGTTGCTAAGAATGACGTTTCCAGTTTGTTAATAGAAAGTGTACTCCTCAGCTTTTCTCTTTTGATCCCATCCACAGGCTCTGCATCTTTGTCTCTTAAACATTAGTATGACCCTTCTTCCCAGCAGCATTTCCATTGCCACGAGTATTGTAAACCTCCAGGAGTTTAAATTTGGGGCATATAATTACCCTTTTTATTTTCAATATTTGAAGGCTGCCTCTGGTGGACGTGAGGTAGTTTAACATAAACAGAACCATACAAATAAATAGGGTATCTCGCAGTGAAGAAACCTATCCAGAAATAAGGAAAGCCTTCTTAAAAGAGATAATTTTGGTTAGTTATGAAAAAGTCTCTTTCTGGCCTATTTGGGAGAAACTATTCCAAAGTGTGTTATCAATACTTGTTCATCTTCTCCTTATAAAGTGCTCAGTTCACACCAGTTTAGCTTGCAAATTGTGATCAGGGTAGAACTCTCAGGGGATGAAACTCTATAGTAACACACGAGTTAGTTAATTCCAGAAATGGCACAGGTTTTAGTGAATTTATTATCCACAAGTACACAATGAGTAGGAAAAGGGATGAGCTTCTGCACCTTTTGATTCCAGACTAGAATCTCTAAAAGTACTGATATATGTGCCCCTTGCTTTTATTGCCCGTAATTTCTAAATCACGTCTTCTCTTTAGATCAAAGCTTAAAATAGAAGACATAAAAGAAGCAAACAAAACACTTCAGGTTAGTAATATTTGGGGTAGTAACTGATAATCCAAATTGGTTCTTTCATTCATTTCAAGTATTAGTTTTTCTGCCGTAAGATAACAGCTTCCTTTGTAATTTGGAGCATCAATTGTTATATGACTAGTCACTGTGCATTTGGGTTCTATTCCAGCATGTACAAAATATTTTCAATTTGAAATACACTACATTGCCAAAAGTATTCGCTCACCCATCCAAATAATCAGAATCAGGTGTTCCAATTATTTCCATGGCCACAGGTGTATAAAATCAAGTACCTAGGCATGCTGTTGTTACAAACATTTCTGAAGGAATGGGTCGCTCTCAGGAGCTCAGTGAATTCCAGCGTGGAACTGTGATAGTGCAGCAATAGCAATAGCAATAGCAATAGCAA